AAAGCTGGAAAAAAGGGTTTCCAGAAGAGGCTCAGTCACAGCTGTGTCACTGTGACAGGTGTTGGGAAATGCTTCATGGTGCAAATTCCATCTTTGCCCAATCCCTTCAGTGAAGCTGTCTAAGAAGTTCCATTCGTTCTCAGCCATAGGGAGAGGATTTTAGATGGGATGCCAGTTACATGGGAAGTCATCTGTAATGCACTTTGGTCTCTATTCATGTTGATTTTGTTTACAAATAGAATTTTCTGCTGTTCATTCATGGTCATTGAACTAAATCTTGGCATATCACTGCAGCTTACTCACGCCCTGCTCTTGAAAAGGCCCGAGATTTATGGGGATGTATTTAAATGCAGTTAAAGCTCTTTTCTTACAGGGGAATTTTGCTTACATTTTGATTTTGAAAAATTAACCATCTAAGTCTCTGACGGTATTTATACTTCTTTTGACAGTAATCCAGTCCCTCATAGCACTGGTGAATGATCCACAGCCCGAGCACCCCCTCCGGGCTGACCTAGCTGAAGAATACTCTAAGGACCGTAAAAAATTCTGTAAGAACGCTGAAGAGTTTACAAAGAAATATGGTGAAAAGCGACCAGTGGACTAAAACCTGACACAAGTGCTGTCAGCAACTATGATAGAAGATCGGAGCAGTGCATTTGAGACACCCCGTAAAGCAGGACTCTATGGAAAATTGACAAGTGCCACCTTTCGGTGTGAACTTGTGGCTGTTACTAACTTTCTACAGTTTTCTTAATCAAAAGTGGGCTAGGTAACCTGTAAAGAAAGGATTAAAATTTAAGATGTTCTAGTTCTGCTTTCTTTGTTTAAAAATCACTGCTTCAATATACTTTAAAGTATGCTGTTTTCTTTTTCTTGTCAGAATTTATCAAAAATATCTTAGACTTATATTCTGCCCTTAAATTGAAAAGGTTGTGGCTGTCATTTCTTATTTTTCCTTGCAGTTCCCACTATCTTGAGTTCATTCATTGAATTTTAACCCCCTCCTCAAAATGATGTCTTAGGAAAAATATCCCAGTTCTGGCAGAAAATTGAGTGTTTGGCAGTTTCGTTTACTTTTCTTTCTAAATGTTGCACTGTGCTTTGTGGGACTTGTTGCAAGTTCCCCTGAACTTCAGTTTGTAACATAATAAATGAAATCCAACCCCACAAAACCAATCAGAAATAATGTCTGGGTCTGATATAAATCTGGCCAATGTCTATTAAACGGGGAAACCCAAGTTTTTGTGTGTGTCATTGAATTAGAATATGGCTTACGTTCTGCTCTTGGAAAACCTTGGAAAAATAATCTCTAGCAAACAAGTAGTGGAATGTGATTGCAAATTTCCCTCACTTCTATCTTTAATACTTATGCAGAGTACTGGGAAACATGCACAGAACAACATTGCAACCAATCCAGGAGAGTTCCAGAAATTGGGGACCAAGAGGTACCAAAGTGACAAACTGTCTTTTGAGCCTAAAATCATTATTTTGGAAACATTAATTTTGAATTCAAGAAGTAAATCTGACGGCACTGCTGTCCTCTCTGCAGGTTTTCCCTCAGAATGCGTCAGGAGTGTCTGTGTTTGTGGGATGGCCCTTGAGCCGTTCCCAGCCCCACTGCGAGGCCAGGCCTGAGCAATAAGGTGTGACAGAGTGTGCTTGGCTGCTGCTGCTCTGTTCAACACACGGGGCACGGGCTTTAGGGAGTGTTCAGTGTCAGTCGAGCTTCAGCGGGCAGGGCACTCCTGTGCATGCTGAAGGAAAGGGAGCCCTTTTCCTTCAGAGCTGAGCATCCTCTGCCGTGTCTCTGCTGCTTCTGCTGCCTTTCCTCCCCAGGCCAGAGTGTGATCCTAGCTCCACAGTCAAACTGCCACACAGTCAACCTGCTGTCTCCCCTTCTGCAGCTGGGGTCTGCTACTGAGGGAATGGATTATTTCCAGAAATCCATCAGTATCTGGGAGCACATATCATTTTGATGTGCAGGAAGCTGAGTTTAAAAAACCCTGACACCTAGGTGGTTGCCTGTACTCCTAAATTCAGTTTTAATACAGCCTCTGCCTTTGCAACCTTTCAGAACTAGCGTGTCAAGCAGTAGATCTTGGTTTTAATGTCTTGTGTATTTGCTGTTTCCTCATTTGTCCCTCTCCTCTGGCTTTCATTTCCAATTTAGTGTAAACAATGACAGCCCAGTACCTCACCTCTGTTGAAAGTAAATTTTTTTATAAGTTAGGGAGCTAAGAAATTTTATGTTTAAGTGTTCTTAGACAGATTCTTTGGCAGGTAAATAAAGTTAAACCACATTCACCTTATTTACGGAAACTTGCATTTCCTAAGTGTTTTCAGGCTTGTGAGAGCACTATTACCAAATTTTCACATCTTTGTGTCTTCATTTGCAGAAAGTTGGTACTGATTTTGTTTCGTTCACGCTCACTCAGATTCATAATAAAATAATGCCAAATTATCTGTCAAACCGAAGTGTGTAACTTCTGCATCACCTGAGTCACTGTACCTTTGATCATGTCTGTTGGCATGGAGACTTACCATTCTCTAAATTTTATTTGAAACAAAACTGTAGCACTAGTTTGCTGCCCTCGTTGCTACTCAATAGTTACTCTGTGGTTGTAAAGCCTCTCAGGTCAAAGACTGCGTCTGTGTGCCTGGCTGTGATCGATGCCGCGGGAAGGGACGGAAGGGCTGAGTGACCGCAGCAACTCCGGCCGAGCCGCACCAGCCGCTCCCATCCAGCTGCACGGCTCACACAGAGACAGACCTCGCTATCAGTTCTCTTGGTGTGTTCTTCATAGTCCAATTGCTAAACTGTGAGACGTGTAAACAAAGTGCTGGCGCGTGTCTGGGGCAGCCTCTGAACAAAGGGATCCGGTACCTGTGTGGCTGAAGGCTGAGGAGAAGAAATCCAAGTGCAAAGTCCTATGATAACTCAGGAAATCAAGCTCTTGTTCTCTCTGGTTCCCTAAGCCATGCTGAATTCTAAATGTGCAGTTGAACATCCACAATTAAAGCAGCGCACTGGTGAATCTACACCCAGGAGTACTGGTATAGGCTTTCTGCAAGTCCATTCTGCTACCCTAATAAAAATTGCTCTCAAAGGCTTTGTGGCATGGTTTTATTTTCACAGAGGTCTGGGAGTTAACTGGGATTGTTAGTGTTTTAATTTGAAATTGGATTGTCTTTAAAGCTTTCACAGAACCACTAAGAAATTTCCTTATCTCCCTATAATTTAGGCAATTGAAAGGTTCCCTATTGAGTAGTCTTTTAGTAGTTCATTATTCATTTCTCTAATTACACGGATATTTGGGGTTTAATGCTCTTCATTTAAAAATAAGGAATTTACAAAATCCATTTTTCACAGTGCAGCACTCGGGTAAAGGCTGCCCTCAGATCTTCAAAGCTCAGCTGCCAGGAAATGCATCCAGAATTGCACAGGTGTGTAACGTCCTGATGGGTGCGATCAGAGCCAAGGTAGCGCTTAGAACATGGAGAATGTTCTAAACGTCACATGTTCTAACATGTTAAATGTTTATGATAAGGTCTGAAGTATCCATGAGAAGGCGGTGACAATTCCATACCCTTTGGAGCTCCGCGTTCCGCAGGGGTTGCAGTGCGGCGCGGCGGGCACGGCGCGGCGCTGGCGGCTGCGAGCGCTCCGGCCGCGGCTCTGGCCCGGTACCCCCGGAGCGGCTGCGGGGCCGGGGCATCCCCAGGGAAACACCCGCCCTGCTCTCACCCGGCCCGGCTCAGACATCGAAGGCATTGTCTATAATATTGGAAAGAATCGGGGAAATATCTTCTACAGCATCTTTGATGCTTTTCCTACTTGTACGGGACAAAAACTTCCTTGAGGTGTTACAGGAAAGGTCAGACAGTTCCCATTAAAGATAGAAGGGAAGGCCCTTCCAGCGGTGTGGGAGCAGACAGGTGAGTGGGTTTAGTTCACTCAGCAGATTTAACTAGACCCGAAAGCCTCCTGAAGCTTTGCAATAGAAAAGGCCTGAGTTTATTTTTCATTTAAAAGAATGATGATCATACTAATATTTTTTATATTAAAAAACATGGTTAACAAAAACAATTGTTAAATAGATAACTTTTGTGCAGAGAATGAGCACAATCAATCTAAAATAATTTTTCCCCATGTGGAAGTCCTTACAGGAATGGCAGGGCTGCAATTAAGAACATATCAGCACTTCTGGGGCTTGTTGGAGTTTGAATGCTCCGGTGAGAGGAATAAAAGGGATAAATGCAGGGACCTTCTCTACTCGCAGCCGTGCGCATGGCTGGCACAGCTCATGGCTGTCCTGAGGGGCAGTGGGTGGTGCAGGATCAGTTGCTGCTGCTCTCATCCACAGCAGTTACTGAAATAGCAGCTAGGTCAACAGTTGCTGCCCCTGCAAAGTCATCCCAAAAATAAGAAGCCTCTCCAAAAGGGCTGCAGCTGATGTTACTTTCCTGGGGGACCTTAATGCCAAGAGGCAGAGACACAATTCCTGCTGGCTGAGGTGGCTCTTGGGAGGTGGCTGCAGACCCCACTGGGCCATGTGTGACCCAGCTTCTCCAGGCAGAGGCAGGCTCTGAGGGTGTCCCTGCACCCCTCACCATGAGCGGGTGTGAGTGAGGGGCAGGGACTGGCTGCTTTCAGAGAGCCAAATGCTGAAGTGTCCAGGCCTCCTGTGGGTGACCTACAGAGTGGCTGCTCCAAACCCAGCTGGGTTCTTGTTTTGCCATCAGGTGTGAAAGGAGAAATGATCAGACCCCTCAGGGTGCTGTGTTGCAGTCTCACAGCTAAGTTTGTCCCCGTGCTGCTCCTTTGCTGGCAGGAGCTGAGCCCTGGGAGCGTGTGCTGCACTGGGCTACTGTGGAGAGGGTGTCACAGAAGGAGTTTGGCACATTTTGAGCAGGTGTTGTGGCCTTAAAACTGGCAGCTGGGACTGTGGGGCACTGCCGGGAGCTGCTCACAGGGTGGTGGTGTCCATTCCCAGGCTGTTCACAGCCTGTGACATTGATAACAGTCATCTGGCTTCTCTGGATGTTAGCAACTGCCTGTCTTCAGAGGATGGATGGATGGATGGATGGATGGATGGATGGATGGATGGATGGATGGATGGATGGATGGATGTCTGCTCATTTATTTAAAGATCTTTGAATGAACACAGCTGAATGTTCCTGCTTTTGTAATGGCTCTGCAGCTCCGGCTTAATTAAAGTCTGGAGTTCATGGAGGCGTTCCCAGGACTGTGAGAAATCATCTGGTCCTTCCCCACAGCCGCCGACAGGTGGGACACTGGGGTAGCCCGGGTGCACCATCAGCTCGATGGTCCCTGTGCTGCTGTGCGGTGCCCTGGCCGTGAGCTGCAGGACGGCGCTGTCGATGGCGCTGCGGATGCTGCTGACAGACATGTTCCTGCCCATGGTGCTCAGGCCTATGTACATGTCTGGCCACCTGCAGCCACAGGAGGGAACGCTGCTGTTAATGCTAAAGAGGTAGGTAGACAATTGTGTTATGTCCAGTGGATTAGGAATCAAAATTTACCTAAAGTTTAAGATAGGAAAGTGGGAGAAGTTTTTAAAAACTTTTAACTATAAACAAAAGTAAAACCAGAACTTTTCCTGATTGAAACCAGGATCCTATTTCAAGCGGCAGTTTTGCAGGGACAGCAAGGCCCAGCACAGGGACAGCACTGTGTGATGGCACAGGGGGTGTTTGGCATCTCTGAGCTTACAGGTGTATTTTATTGTCCCAAAAGGGAAGAGCGGTGCTAAACTGAGAAATGCCACACTACCAAAATAACTTAAGCCTGAATAATAACCCTCAGCTAAGTAGAACCAAAAGTGACTGAAATAAAATGGCAACCACACAGCTAAAGAAGCCTTCTGCCAGAATATATCAAAGAGCCATAATAACTGGACCAAATGTTACTCCTGGAGGACACCACCTTCACGCTGTTTCTTAGCTTCACACAATTCTTTGTTCAAGTCTGGCTGCAAGTGTCAGTTCTAAGTGAGTCTAGGAGAGCTGAAACACTGCATGTGATGTTTTTGGAAGAAATCAAGGCTGGAGTTCTTTACCTGAATGATCACAGAAGAGCCCAGCTCAGCTCTTGTTGAGAAAGAAGAAATACCAGCCTGCTGCTGGTGTTCAGAAGAACTGATACAAAAAGCAAAATCCAGAGAAGAATGTTTCCAGTGGACTGAGGTAGGAATGACATCTGCTCCAAAGGACAGATGACTGCAAGGGTCTCTCGTGAAAGGCCTTCAATCCACAAAACACTGTCTAAGTTTTTAAGAGAAGGATTTTACTGGGGGGAGGGCTGAGATTTCAGGGTTTGGCCTCTGAGATGCAGGACACTGACAAGGCTGTTTGCTTACAGCAGTGATCACCTGCTGTGGTACTGCCAGCTCTCAGAGCTTATTGCTTCCCCTTAACAAATACCTGCTTCTAATCAGTCTCTTTCCTGCTACTTAAAACCCTTTCTCTATGACAGGAAGATGAAAATTTAGTTCTTGAAAACTTTCTTTAAATAATACTTTTAAAATTCCAGCGTTAATGCAGCATTTCTCCTGACATTTCAGATGCCAGACTGATGCAGCTTCACTAGAAAGGCTGAGAAGCATATCCTGAAAAGAACATTCCTTTTCAAGTGGGAAGTGACTCATCTCTGTTCAAACAAAACTTCCTAAGCCCTTGTGCCCCTGGCACTTCTGTGCTCCTCCTGAACCTCTCTCTAAGTTCTAAGAGGAAAGAGAAAGGTGGTGTTCCATTTTTGAAAGATACTATCAGAAACTGATAAAATCTTAATGTTTTACTACAAGAAAGGATGGGTAATACCTTTCTTACCTTATTCCATGCTTTGTAAACACATCCACTGTGTTAAAAGAATCTTCTTCTACTCCCAGGTAAAATTCCATCAGGGATGGTGGAATCCAGTCACAGTTATGAAGGCCTGGCTCTATTGGGACACGTGTGTACTTAATGCCATATTCCTCTAACACCTCTGCAAATACGTGCCTGACCTCTGTAAGTAAAACCAGAGACTGCAGTCAGGAGTTGGACAACCAAGTTCTTGTTTCCCCTGCAAGCTGTTAGCAACGAGGCTTCTTTCCTTTCTGTGTTTAAGAAAATAAAATTCCATTTGGTTTATCTTCTGCTGAAATCCATCTGTATGGGAGTCACCTTCTATACTGGAAACATTTCTCCCTGAACTTCTGCTGTAGGTGCCTTGTCATTGTTCCTTTCAGCACTGAGCCTTTAGTCCAGCCCCCCTTTCTAAGTGGGTGGCTCTGGTCTTAGAGTGCACCAGAGGTGACTGCACTGTCATGAACAAATTCTTCATCGAGTCCTTGTACAGCCAGAGCAATGTTATCTGGAGACAGCACTGAAGTCAGGAAACCTGGATTCTTTTCTCACTCCATTTTCCATCTGTGTACCACAATGACTTTATTTGCAAAAAGAGGACTAAGGATCCTTCCTCATCTGTAAAGCTGAGACCTTCAGGGTGGGGACTGGGCTGGGAACACAACAGACAGGACGGAGTTCTTGTAGCATCTAAAAGAGCCACCAGCTATTGCAAACTCCAGTATTCCAGTTTAAACTGGCCAGTCTGCTGCTAGCTTTGGTCTGCCTTCTTCAATGTGGGTGAGAATATGGAATTAGGATGCTGAGGAGAATTATTGGTCTTGGAGGAAGAGGTGTAACCTGGGCCATTTGTGCCATTAATGCCCTGGTGCTGCTGTGGGAAGACCCAGGGCTCCAAGCAGAGTTTGGGTCTGGGCAGGGAACATTCAGGTGGGGTCAGGTGGGAACATTCAAACTGCAACTGCCAGCAGGTGTCTCATGGGGTTATTGCCCATATAGGGAGCTGTGGCAGGGGGAGTCCCCTCTGAGCTCTCTCACCTGCTTGGTGCTGGGAGGAAGATTTCCTTCTTACCTGGGAGAACATGGACGTGCTGGTGCCCATCCATGTGAGGAGGTAGGTGACCTGTCAGCTCCTGGAACAGCTCCACCTGGGCCTTTAGCTCCTGCTTCACCTGTGCAGCAGAAAAGGGTCAGAGCAAGACCTGGCAGAGGCTGAGAGCAGGGGAGTGATGGGGCTGGTGGGACCTCAGTGGGCAGGAGTCAGGAGCTGGCCCTGGGCAGGTGCTGTGGTTGTACAGGGATGTGCAGCACTGCTGGGCTGCCCAGAGCCTCCCCTGGGCATGGGGCTCTTTGTGGTGCTGCTTCTGGGCATAGTGCTGATGAGGCTGTCCTAAATACATAGGCTATCTGAACACTTAGTTGTGTTTAAAATGGGTGCAGTTTTCATCACCTGAACACGTTTATCCTTGTTCATGGTGCAAAACCAACCACCTCTCTAGAGAACCAAAACTTCTCACAAGATGAAGACCCTGGTGCCTACTTATGACTTTTCTGTCATTTGCTCTTTACTGATCTCTAGGTTCTTTGTAAATACCTGTTCCCATGCCCCTTCTACCTCCTCAGATAAATAGTTAACAGTGTACACAGGCACTGAATCAGGGAGGAATGGGTTCTCAAAGACTGCAGAGCCTTTGGCAGAATGAGGCCCAGGACCTGAAAGCCAGCTCAAGCTGCACGGGTAGGATTCAATTCTAAGCCTCCTCACATCTGGGATCTGGAAAAGGACCTCAGCTGTTATGTGCTGGGCTAAGAGCAGGCAGATTTTTATCAGGAAGGCAAGTTACACAGCTGTATGTGGCTTTCTCCTACCTCTGACATGTTCAGGAGACCTTTTGATAGAGCTGTTCTGAATCCCATTTTTCCATGGAAGAATCCATCTTGGTTGAGCAAAGAAGAGTTTGTCTTGAGCACCTCACATACAGGGGAGCCCTCGGAGAGGTTGGCATGCAGGCCTATTGGGATGTTGTGTCTGTAAAAGAGCGAAATATCTGCTATGCTTTGCATCTCCCTCACCGTGGTCAAAGAGGGAGAGATTTAAGTGTAAGAACCAGACTGATCTTAGAGGTGTTGCAGTACTCACTGGAGTACATCTTTGTATCTCTGCTCTGCCAGAAAGGATGGCAGAGTGACCCCAAGCAGAGCAGGACATGTCCAGGTAACCCCCCTGAGCAGTCCGCCCAGGGCCAGCCTATGAGTGTCCCCAGTCCCTGCCCCCACCCTGGCTCACAGCACGAGGTGTCTTGGGCTAAATGCTGTAACTGCACTCCAGAAACTGCAGTCACTGGTAAATATCTGAAAAATCCAGATCTTGCAGCTTTTTCTAAAGCACTTCATTATCCCTTGCTAGGTATCCCCTTGAGTTGTTCACCCTGTTAAAGATGGTACATTTATGAGACATTTGAGTTTTACTTGATGACGCCTAAAGCTGCCCTTAAGTAGAATCCAGTCATTTATATCTAAACAGTGCCCAAGGAAGCTGTTATGGCAACAGCACAGGCTACAGGTGTAAATACAAGGGGCTGCAGCTGGAATTGCCTGCAGTGACCAGGTTCCTGTCTACTGGAGCAATCATTCAGTGAGTGACAAGGCTGAGCTGCACAGAGCAGCATCTCCCTGGCACAGCCAAAGAAGGATTAGAGCAAGGAGGCTCTCAGTGAAGTGTAGAGCCTTGCTAAGGAGTCACAGGGGCATGATCGATTTCCCAGTAGTACCCTGTAACATTCTGGAAAAAAAAAAAAAAAAAAACAAGTAAAAAAAAAAGGCACTGTGGAGCTGGTGTGGCTGCAGAGCTCGCCTCAAGCGCAGGGCTTAGCAGAGTGCTGGTGTTTCCTTCTTGGTCTGTGTTGTGGATTCCCCTACAATGAGAACAGGACTTGTGCGTGCTTGGATTTGTGCTGGGTCTCATTAGTGTTTCTGGAAATCCTCAGAATCAGTAACCAAAATGATGCTTTGAAACTTTTTCCAAGACAACCCGTGGCCTCTGGCTGACCCAGTGAGTGGATGACAGAACTGCAATGTTCCGTCTGTGCTGCCCAGTCTGACTCACGGTGCAGAGTGAATTTCAAGGCAACAAGTCTGTAGTGCTTTAAATCCTTCTTGGAACTTCTGCACAGAGCTGTTAAAAGGGGGTGTGGTCTGTCTCTGGTCCAGCCCTTGTACCACAAGGAGAAAACAAAAACAATCTCCATTTAGGCAGAGGGTGCAAAAGGTCTTCCCCTTCTGTCTGACATCTGAAGCTGACTGGTGAAGCACCAGCTCACTGGAGCCAGGACTGGGGATGGATTTGACTTGGATTGGACCAAGTCAGAGTCATTTAGCTCGTTCAGGTCCTAAGGCTTTGGCCCTTGCAGGACTGAAAGTCTTTTTTCCTGACTCTTCCATGTCCTGTGATCCAGGTAGATGGTGCAGTCAGTTCGTAGATACTACTTCTCAAAGACATAAATGTTACGAGTCAAGTTGTATGCACAGCTCTGTGGAACAAAATGAGTCCATTGTGTGATTAAGGAGCTTGAATGTTTGTTCAAGGGAGCAAAACAGCTTGTGGAAAAAAAAGGTCCTCTCTGGCTTTTCTGATCTGGTGATTTCTGTGCAGCAGGGTCCGATTGTTTCACTGGTAAGTGTCCATCATAGCAGGGCCTGAGCACATGTGCACACCAACTCCTGGCTAATACAAGAAGTAGAAGGAGTGTCACTGGGGGTGAAAGGCTGCAGGGCAGCACAGGAGGCAGCTCCAGGGCAGAAGGAGTGCTGTGGCAGGAGGGCTTCCCCTCCATCCTGTGACCTGCTGGACACCCTGCACGAGCCGAAAGGCAGAGGGGAAGCCTGTGGGTTTGTTTTGGTTTTCTTTTAGAAGTCCACCCCAGATTCTTTATTGTGTCTCTGGGAAGCTCTTGACTGCATCAGCTGGAGTGTTACTTGTACCACAGCAGTGCTGTTTGCAAGAAAAAAAAGGATTCCTGTGTTACCATGAATCAGCAGATGGACTTTTTCTGTTGAGTACTCTCTTTCTCGTGTGTTGTGGGAGGGCAAGGAAATGAACAGCTGAGCCTCTCAGTGTTGTCTCCCAGGAGCATCAAATGAACTGCCTCCAATTGTGCAATGCCTCAAATGCTGTGAGGGAGGCTATTTCCAGGAGAAGACAAGCCCCTCTGACAGGTGTGGGACACCAAGGAGCCAAGGGCTGCACTGGGGAACATGAGAGCAGCTCCTGGCCAGAGCCAAACCCAGCCCCAGAGCTGGGGAATGTGCAGAATGTGGAAGTGCAGAGAGAGCTGGCCTTGTCCTCGGGTAAGAGGAGACCCTGACTGTAACATTAGAACGTCTTTCAGAACTTTGCCTAACACCAGCTGAATATCTTAATAGTTTTCTCGTGGACTCAGTCCTGGTTTGACAGACTGTGAATGCTGAGGCATCTGGAGAGGAATTGCTCGTGTTTAATGGCTCTGGGATACGGGCACTGAAAGCAAAGCTCAAAATGCCTCACATGAGAAACTTGCTCAGAAGTGTTCATCTGTGGGAGGTGCACAGGGGAAGGCATGCTGGTCAGGTTGTAAGGATATGGAGAGGAGGTCAGTTCAGTGGGTACAGCAGAGTTCTACTACAAGCTCACAGGGAGAAAAGTCAAGGTGCAGGAATATCCTGTAAGGGCCCACTTTTCAGAGTACATATGATTGTTTCTGCTACAGAAATACACTTTGTAGTTGCCCACATCTTTCAAAAGACTGTAAAATATCTGCTAATTTGTTGGCTGAAATATTGAAGCAGAGACCAGCAGCTCAAGCAGCTTACATAGCATGTAAGCATATATGCTGCCCTGGGACCAGAGCTCAGCTGTTGTGGGTTTGGCCTCATACCCACTCCCCTGCCCGAGCCCTTTCTAGATGGGACAGGGTGAGCCCTGCTGGTCACTGCTGGTCATTAACTGCTAATTGCTCACACAAGATGCAAAATAAAAGGACTGGCGTTGGGCTTCAGGCACCAGTTTAGTTTCTGCATACAGCTACCATTGCCAAAACAAAATGAAGAACCTCCTTAGTGTCTCTAAATTTTGGTGACCCTTTTAAGCTGCAATGACCCTTCCAGTCTGTTTGGAGAGGCCCCTCTGTGTTTGCAAGTCGGTCCCAGTGCCCCGAGGAATGCAGAGATGTGAGCAGGATTTAACACAGGGCTTCACTTCATTCCTGATAAAGATACAGGACATTGGCTATGGCTGTGTGCTCCTATAGCAGGAGCAGCAATAGCCTGAGCTACCTGGGAACTTGTGGAGAAGAGGTTCATGCACTAGTGAGCTGTTTGCACGGAAAGTTGGCTGTCACCTCTGTGGCTCTCTTCTCAGCATTCCCTATAGAGGTGGGGGGGAAAAAAGGAGAGGCTTGTGAAGGAGGAAATATCCTTACAGCAGGTGCTAGAAGAAGCAAGAAGGAATTCACTCTGAAAAGATTTCTGAGTCAGCAGGCCCAGTACAGTCATGCAAGAGAGAGGAAATACAATCAGTTAAACTGCTTAAACTGCTTCCTTTTCAAGTAGTTGCTTGTTTTGCCACACGAGTGCTCTGAACAAATGTCTCTGCTCAGGTAATGTGCAGCTGCAATCCCTGTTCATTGACATCCTTGGCAGCAAAGGGACCCTGGATATGGGACTGCACTGAGTCCTTCTGAGGTTGGTGGATGAGTAACAGTGCCCTGGGACCTGTCTGGCCATGCCATGGGACTCTGTGTATTCCTGGGAGCAGTTGCAATGGCTGTGGGAATTATGAGATTTGCCAAGCACTGTTCCAATTACCTTGCTGAAGGATGCATGTTCTGGCACAAGCATGGCACTTCACCCTTTCCCTTGATGGGTAAACAGATCTCACCTTCAACATCCTATTTGTATCATCCAGGAAATTGCTGATCATCGGGTTTCAGCCCAAGTGTGACCCAATTCAGAGCCTCATGTAAATATCTGTATCTAAACATTTTGTTTCACTGAACACACAAGTGTCTTAAACCAAACAAAGCAAGGCTTTGAGCAAAAACGTGCACTTTTTAGTTTCTTCATGTTGGCATTTGCATGCTTCCTCATACACACTTTCACCATTCAGTAATATCTGTCTTTCATCAAATAGCATATTTTCTTGCTCTATTACTGCTAAAAACCTACTTTTCTGCTAGAAATGCTCAAATGCTCTGCAGTGTTAAGAGCTGGTGCTGTAACATAGCTTAGGGACCCGAGTTTCTGTTGTAATTATATCTTTGTATCAAGTGCAGCTCGTGTGTCAGTAAAATGGGCTATTGCCAGTAAAGTCAATATGATCTGGGATTCTAGTGTAAGGCTTCAGATCGGGTCCCACCCCATCCAAACAGTTCAGCAGAGGAACTGTCTGCTGTGTGATTAACAGTCACATAAAAGGGTGATGAGAAAGCATGAGAGATTTCTAAATTAGTCAGATGTTGACTGGCAGGGTCAGAATTAAGTCACAATTTACACACACATTTTGCAATTAGTGTTGATGGGAACGGAAGTGAAAACACAGAAAGCAATTAAATGTGGCTTTGTTAGATTCTTCTGTTAAATGTACTCAGATGTGGGGGCTTTGGCTGATGTTCAGTATTTAAACTGCAAAAAAACACCCAGGAAGACTGAGGTGTTCTAAAGTATGTCACTCTTCATAAGCTATTTGAACACAATCAAATGGGAAAAGGTCCTAAGGCTCAGTGACACCTGAGCTGTTTGATGTAAAAGGGAGGGGTGGGGGGATTTGGCAGCAAACTGTCTTAGGTATCTCTATTTCTATCTCCATATTTCTAAGAAAAAATTAAGACATCTCTTCATTTCAGGTTACAAAATAACCCTTCCAGTTTCTGGGAAAGGCTCTGGAATAATCACCAGGAAGTCTGGCTGACTTCAAGGCAGGGCCTGTTAAGTAGAAAATTGAGATTATATTATATGGATAAGCAGGAAATCACAGTCAGTCAAGGTCCCATAAAGAGAAAAGTTTTGAGTTACTGAAAAAAACCCTCAACCCACAATGGCAGGCTGTTCTCCCACCTGCTGCTCTGGTTATGTTCTGCTCTGGCAGATGCTATCAATAGGTTTGTCATTTGGCAAGGGATCAGGCCTCTGCTGAAACTGCTCTGTTGCCAGAAATGAGTGTGCCCCTTCTTTCAGCCCAGTTGTGGCAGTGGATGAGGAAAGCCCAAGGTGCTGAGCCTGAAGGTGTAATTTTTAAGGAAGGTGTATTTTGGACTGCTTGGTTCTGCTGTTTCACAGTTGGCTTGTGTTAGAGCTGATACAAAGATCTGCTGACTATCATCACGTGTCTGCCAAGGCTTTTAATCAAGACTCAGGGCAACAGATGGTATACCCAGAAACTACACAATTATTGTGAAAATTAAAAGAAGAAAGAAACTTCAGAAGAACTGTGTTCCTTTCTGAAGGATGCTGAGTCCTAACACTGTAGGGCAGCATGAGGTGCTTAGGAAGGAAAAGCTGTCTACTTATTAATTAGCTCTGCCTATGTCCAATTAACTGGAAACCAGGTGAGGAGTGAGAGCTTAAGACTTGCAGTGACAAGCAGTCATGTCATAGACAGTTTATCATGAAGCCATAAAAGCAGTCCATCACTCTGACAATCCTGGCACCATGTGTGTGAAAGATCAAATTCCACAGCACTGGAATGTGCCCCAGGAAAGGACAAGCTACTTGCTTCAAGCCTCTTCTCTCAGCTGGGGATAGATCCATTCTTCCTGCTTATGCCACGGGTCAAGGCTGAACAGGGGAAGACAAACATGGGGAGGAAAAAAAAATAGGCAGACTTTCATCCCATAAAATAAAAAAGCCTCAATATTTACAGTGGGATGGGAGATGACACCAAGCAGGGGAGAGAGGGAATAATATTGGCAAGGCAGTCAAGCAAGTGATACTTTCCCACTTCTGCACCACAAGATGAGGAGGACTCAATGACATTTCTAGCAAGTCTGACCTATCTGTGGTCTGTGTAGAAAGAGTTTGCGTCAGCCTTTGTACCATGAACAAATATCTCAGGGGTGACACAGGGGTTTGTTTACACACACAGGTGCCAATTAGCAGCAGCTGAAGCTGGGCTTGCATTACAGCATGAGGAAACCTTTTCTCCACACCTGCTAATGCTCCCCTCCATGCCTGGGTAGGGCTGAATACACCTGCAGAGAGTTACACAAATGAGGAACTGTAGAACCTGGGCTGTTGATCTTCAGAGCTGGCAGATTTTCCTAAAGTCACCATGCTTATATGCTCAGAAATAGATTTAAATACATTTCATTCTCATTGACAATTCAAAACTACATTCCCCTTATGCTCATCCACCCCCCCAAAAAAAAAAAAAAAATCAAACTGTAGCAACAGTCTGCAGCCTCGGCTGTCCCCTGCCCTCCAACCTGGCTTTTCACACCTATATCAGCTGCCAGCACCAGTGTCATGACCTGGATTCAAAGACGCTTTTTAAACCCCTGACTACATGGCCTACTTCCTGGCCACGGAAATGAGGCCAGGTGGATTCTATTTTAAAAGCCTGCTAAAGACTGTGGCTAAAATAGCTGACAACATTACCAGACCACTGGGGCTTAAAGGGTTTCACAGTGTCTCTAAGTCTGAGAGATGTGCTGGCTTTATCTGTGTGTTTTATGTTTCATTTACTAATAGGATTTTAGGAATCTTACTGGTGTCATGCCACTCCTCTTCTCATGCCCTAGCAGTTCCTCCCTCGATGTTTGCAGGGAATCTCTAGCTTTTTTACAGACCAGTTTGCCACTAACACCACTACCCTATTCCAAAGAAGCTACAAGCAATTTCCAAGTACCCCTAAAACCACAGCAAACTGAGAAGAGATGCTCAATGAGAACAGGACAGCAGAACTCCCGTGAAACTCTCTCCCACAGAAGCTGCATTTAAAGCATAAGGTCTCAGTTTATTTAGTAGCAGTACAGCTCCTTTCCTTTTCTGTGTTCCTAAATTGTTTCTCAACCTTGATGTTCTCTCTTTCAGGACATACTCCTGCTTCCAAGTACCTGCCCACATCAGAGCTGAAGCATTAGCTGGGTTTTAGCACCTAAATACAAATAATGCTTCCTATTAAAGGATTTGCTGGACTAGACGACGAGATTGCCACATAGCATTTGATCTGCTGCAGAGCTAACTGTGCCAGCAGCCTCTGAAGTTGGTGAAGAAGTAAAAGTGGGAGGTAAAAGGTATTGTCCCTTTATGTATGCATTTTTTACAGATGTGTTTATCAAGCCTAGAATTAACAGAAATATTGATGTGCTTTTTAAAAAAAGTTTATGGGCTGGGAAAAAAGTTTTCTACTGCCTAGATTTATAAGTAAGTCTTTGCAGAATCACATCTCTCCCTGATTCTGCAATGAGCCTGGCTGACCTTGTGTTCAGCCTGGGTGAAATGGATCAATTAAATGAGATTTAAAGACTTGTACTTTTATGCTCTTACAGGTTTAGGGGTAGTAGATTGTTCTGAGTATATAATGTGCACTTTCCATCTGATGATGCATCTTGTAGAAGTGTGGAAGTAGAAAGTGCCAAACTCAAATTCTACTAGTCAAATAGTGGAAATGGCTTCCTATCCTGAGGGGAGAAAAAGGTGTGGTGGCTAATACTAGAGAAAGACCATTACTGGTATTAGTTAGCAAATCACTGGTTTTACTATGTAGAGTCTTAGTAAATGTGTCTGAATACAGTTGTCTTGTACCAGCCTGAGCTATGATACAGTGTTTATTCTGGGGCTACAAAATACTTAATTTTGCAGGCTTGATTTTTCGTGGAGGCTGTCCACAAAAGAGCTAAAGAAAGTAGCTTACCTCCTTGCCAGCTTGGCTGCATCTGCTGCAGCACTTCCGTTGACTAGAAGGGACACGTTAGATATCGCACCAGCCAGGAAACAGTCCACAATGCCTTGGTTTCTCCGAGGACAATAGCCGAAGTCATCTCCAGTTACTATTAGCTTCACCTGAAGCATCCTTAGATGTCATCCCTGGCAAAAAAAGTAAAAGAAGGTTAAATCGGAACACGCGGCAGTCTGCAGATCAGAGGCAAACAGGAAAAGACAGGCTTACCGGAGGCGAACTCAATCGTGACTCAGCCCCTGACTAACTCCTCCTGCTCCACCTCAGCCCGCCGCTGGCTCGCGGCTCGCACGGTGGTCGGATTTGCGTGTGGCCGCCGGGCTCACACCATCCCTGCCTGCTCCTGCCCGAGGGCACCAGCCGTGCCCTCCCCTGCGGGGCAAACCCTCGCGTGCACTGTGTATGTCAGGCGATGAGGAGCGTGCGAAAGCTCGGGGGCTTGGTGGAACGATTTAATCGATGGAGGGTGCGTCAGAGGGTCAAATTCCATTGCCGGGCACACCCTCGCCCGCGGTGCCCGGTGACAGGGCAGGGGTACGGATCACCTGAGGCGACTCCGCAGCCGTGACGCCTTCATGGCCACCGATCCCCGGCTCCACAGGGCGCGGCCAGAGGGGGTACGGGCCGTGGCGCCGGGGAGAACCGGGACGAAGCGGCCTCCGGCGGCCCGGCCCTGTCTTCCCGCTGCGGCGGTGGCGCAGGGAGCCCGCCAGCCCCCCCCTCCCCGTGCCCGGGAGGGTGCGTACCTCCGCTCCGGCCCGATCCGGGTCCCAGGGCCGCCGCCAGGTGTGGGCGGCCGCGGCCGCCGCTGCCCCGGGGGGGACGCCGGCCCCGGCGGCGGAGCTGTGCCCGCGCCGCCCGGGCGCGCATCCCCCCTGCCCGCGCTCCGAGCCGCCCCCGGCGGAGCTCCCGCCGCCAGGCGAGCACGGGCCGGCCCCGCCGCAGCGCCGGCGCCTCCGAGCGCGCCGAGCACCGGGGCGGCCCCGCCGGCGGCCCCTGGCGGCCGCGGCCCGCAGCGCCGCACGGCCCGGTACTCGCCCCGGGGCACCCGTGCCGCTCCCTGCGGCGGCCTCTGCTCCAGGATCCCGAGGTGAAACTGGCCTGTGGCTGAGGGTGGGACAAGCAATTCAGTTCGTGCTCTGTGCTGGCTTCAGCGCAAAACCGATAATCCCAACGATGCCATGCGTATATAATCCCGCAATCGGTGACTGTCACAGTAGCCACTTGCTTGTTTTCCCCCATCTTGGTTTTCTGGTAGTGTGCACTCGGTCTGACTTCAGAGCCACAGGGCACCAAACCCTGGCCAGGAGGTCCCATGGCTCTTGGTGCTGGGCTAGAGAAGGGCAGGGAGAACAGATTAGAGTTTCACGAAGGGCAGCTTCTAACATGCTGTCATTCAGTGCTGGATGTCAGCCAGTTCTCCATCAGTCTGCATGTAAAATCTTGTTTGTCCTGGCATTGAACTGCTTTTTCTTACTGCAGAAAAACTACTCTGGATCTACCAGAATGAAAGTGCTGAGTACTCAGCTTGAAACGGAGAGTGGAAGATACTGTTAGCCTGCATTTTTCACCCATGGAAGAGGATGAAGTTCCATCAAAGCAGAACAACCCCCTTCTTGGTCTGTAGCGTTATCCCAAAACGTTCACCAACTTCTGATATTGCAGGAGAAACAACAGACTCATGTTTGGAGTAGGGAGAATGGCAGTTCAGAAAGTGCCATGGTAACATGTCCATGGATCCAGGGCACCTGTTTTGGTGTTTGCTGTAACTTGTTCCAGAAAGCAGGGATCACACTGGGACTGAGACTCTTGCATGGATGATGGTGATTTCCACCTCTGAACCTGTGCCAGCATGGAGGTAAGTGCAGAAACAGCTGACAAGCCAAGCACTGGCTTATTGGAAGAGCAGCTGGAGTGAAATGGGTTGGAAAAGGCTTTAAGGGTCATTTATGTGGGAATGGACTGACAATCTTGCTGCTTAATTCATGTATAAAGAAACCAAAGCCTCCAGGTGTCTTCTTTTTCAGCAGAGTTCAATTCCTAAAAGACAGCCAGCATGCCCATGCCCCAAAGTCAAGGACATGACCTGTAGGCACAGCCAGAGACTGTCTTCAGCAAAGGAAGAACCATAAGTCTGGAGACACAGAAGCACACTTCAGCAGAAGAAATTGCACCCTTTTCACACCTGAAGTTTGAAACATCTGTGTGGGGGCATGAACAGCTGTGGAAGTAGGGGTTTTCCAGGTCTGTCTCCTAACAAGGCATTTGGAATCACTGAGTTGAGGTAGATTGCAGCCCTGTTGATCTTTAGGCTCTCATCAATTGCAGTCCAGGTAGCAAACTGCTACAGAACTTTGTTTCCACTAGCCTGAGGGCACTTTGAGGGGCAGCTAAGTTTTGGATGACAACTCCTAAGTTTATTTTGATACTCTGAAGGAGAAAAATAAAAGCAGAATGGGTGGTAGCAATATTATTCATGGGAGAATTTGGTTCCTAGGCTGTGCTCTCCCTATAGGCCCTGAAATGGGCAGCATTGGGAGACAGGGAGCATGAGAGACTTCTGCTGCATCAAGAGGGGACATCAGCTGTTTGTTGCTTTCTTACTCTTTCTTGTTCATGTAAATGAGCAATGACTACTGTAAATGATGATGAGAGCTGGAGACCGCCTTCTGCCTCTTCAGTGGCATTTTCTTAGAAAAAAAAATTATATGAAACAAAATTCAAAACAGATCATGCTAAAATGCTGTCGACAACTTGCTAAATGTTCATTCAGGAAATTCCTGTGAGCTTTCCTGTCATTTGATAGTTGTATGGCTCTGTTACAGAAAGTTTTTGATGTTCTATAAAGGTTTCCAGTGCCCTTGGCATTTCAGAGGGGATATTTGTGCAACTGCTACTTGCTTCCCCTTCTGGGAGATGAACGTCACAGCCTGCCCACATTCCCCAAGAGGCTTCACTTACTGATGAGTGCTGTTACTGTAACAGCTGAAGTCAGCACAACTCTGAAGTAATGTCATGAATCATAAAATAAGTACCTCCTCTCTTTGCCAATGCAAACTCTGGGGTTTTCTGCCTCTTTCTAGAACTGCCAGTGCTCCCTGACTGTGCACAGGTGAGAGGCACAGCATAAGAATCTTAGTTAAAGCTTGGCTTCTCAGCCTTCTTAACCTTAGTATGCATTTAATGCTATTAACGGTAACATCCTTCTTAAATATTTAATGCACTTCCTGGAGGCTTTTCTTTTCTGATTTCTTACCTGTTTATCCAGTTCTCCTTCCTGCCACTGGAAGCAAACATTCCCCAGCAAGCAAACCTTGCCCCTGTGCCACATCCATGCCCTTAGATAGCAGCAGTGCTCCCTCTGCAGCCTGCACTCACAGCTGGCTGCCAGGATAGCCTTGCAGCTGATCCCTACAGAGCACAGAGGTGAAAGGCCCTTACAAATTCAGCCCGGAGCTGAAAGGCAAGGCAGGCTCCCTCTGGACAGTGAAGACAGGCACATTGGCCAATATTTCTGGTGGAGCTGCATAAGCCAGGACATAGATTAAGGAGAGGCTGCATCTTCCAGCTTAACTAAAACCAAACACAGCCCTACCTCAGCTTAGCTGCAAAAGCCAGCAGGAGCTCTCACCATCCTCAAGTGCTTCACTGCTTGTGAACTTGAATTTCTTTCCCTGAATTTTGAGTTAATCAGTAGCAAATTTCGAGGTTTCCTGTATTTCACAAAAGCATTTTCTAACAATTACCGCTTCCAACAAGGCGTCTGTTTACATGTTGACATAAAAAATGTGTTTTCTTTTTCTTGTTCCCTTGGCTGCAGCTAGTTATTTCATTTGGGATTACAATGGTAGCACAGTAGGACTTTGTTTGTCTTTTCCTTGCATGAAATTTTGTTGAAAGTGTGAACTGTAAAAGGCATTGAAATGAGACAAAGTAAAATCCATTTTTTAAATTAAAGGATGTAAACATTTTCTTCTCTGCCTCGGCCTCAAAGATTTTGTAAATCTTTGAAGTTCAGTGGCTTCTGCAGAAATGCTTAAACTACAGATTTTCATCCATAGAACAGCTTCCTCCATCCTACATCAAAAAGGGTTGAAATCCCCAAACTCTGGGGTACATCTGCTAAGAGTGAAAGGCTTCCTGGCTTACCGTGTGAACACAGCTAGGCAGTGCCTGTCACCTTCCCTCGCCCATGTCTGAAATACCTGAATTTACACCAGCACAAAATATTGCCAGTAGCTGGCAAGGTGTGTGGTCCTAGCAAGGTGGCTGAAAGGCAAAATTGGCCATTGTGACTTTCTTATTAATTTGACACTTGGCATTAAATTATGGAGGACTGCTAAAAGCACCAAACTCAAATCCCTCCTGATGCACCTAGCAGGTCTCTGGTCTTTGCTGATACTGTGGCTCACGGATGGTGAATTTTAATCCACTCTCTCTTTTTTCAGGGAATTATTTTCTCTCTGCTGAATTTCTTTCAGTGTCTAATGTGTGGTAAAAATTAATATTTTAATATGAACTAAGTAAGCTATGGCACCTGTGACTTCTAACTGGGGTTGAGATGATCTAAAGCCTGCACATTCCTTTTCCAGATGCCTCTTTGCCTGATGTTGAGGTCTATTAAATTTACAAAGACACCTGGTCAAAAAAGAGTTGAGATGGGGAATATTTCTCCCAGAAATTAAATGATGGGTCCAAAATAGGCACTGTTTAACTGTGCACATTAATAGCTAAACCTAGACTATCTGATTCCATTAACTGTTTGATTGCATCAGGAACTCAGTTTGACCTCTCTGAAAGTTATTATACTGTCTGGAGCTCATTTCTTGGTATTTATAATAAAGGTTCCTAGAGGAAATTATGTCTATTGAGGTCAGAAAGGAGCAGGTTATATAAAAGATGCATAGATGTTCTGTGGAATTTTCAGAATTGCATTAATATTTACCTACCACTGAAACAGATGTCTAGAGGTTTTTCAAATCCCATGAAGAACTAAGTTATTTTAAAAGCTGTCTGAATTGATGTAACATACATTGCATTTTTACATTCTTATTCTAAAATAGAACAGCAATTCCAATCCATGCCTGCAAACTCTAAATAACTTCTTAAACTTCAACTTACACTTGTCTAAAAAAAGCAGAGTTAAGCCTGAACCTGATTTTTACAAATGTTGATCAGGAGTCGTTAAAATTAATTAAATATACCAGAGGCAGGTCCTTATGTGTTAAGGGGGAAAAAAAAAGGAATGAATGCAAACATTGGGAACATCCAGCAATGTTACTACACATGGAAGTTAATCTGGCAGATCACGTACAGTGATTGTTGTCGCCTCCCAGCATCACTGATAACATGTGAAAAATCTCAGTTGATTGAATGGAAATGCAGATTAATTCTTTTGGGGTTCTGAGGGGAGATCCCCTGCTCTTGTAGGACAAGCATCAGGCAGGAGAGTGGCTGAGAGATGGCAACAGTGATGGACACATTGCCAGGACTCTGCAGAACTTCCCAGGAAATTCTCTCTACCTCTAAAACTAGAAATAGAAGACAGCAATTAAAAAACATCAAATCTTCTCCCCCAGATGAAAAAATCTTCAATTTAAATACTTAAATATGTATATGTTAATACTTTTTTTGGTCAAATGTCTTCTGCTTATTTGCTTACTCTGTTTATTCTTACATTATGTTTATATCTACTGAATGCAAAAATCAAAGCAAATTCTTTTGGTTATCTAGTCCTTAAACAACTTAGGCTGAGTGATAAGAAACTGGAATTCTATAAATTTTTGGCAAGCCGTTTTTTGTCACTTGGATTTCTCTCCGGGTGACAGCATTTCATCATTATTACTCCTGTTCACTGTTTGTATGAGGCTTAGGGGTCACAGTTGGAAGAGCTCTGTTGTAAGGCATGCCAGTGAAGACAAATGTTTCATCTGAAGTGAGGTTTATAACCAGCTGTTCCTCAGTGTGGAGTGAAAGGAGGAAACAGAAAAAAAACACAGAGTCTTTGCAGACCTGATTGTCTACAGTTACTCTGAGTTCAGTACAGTTCGCCTTTATTGACATCAGAGAAGGGACCAGATGCAGAGAAAAGCCAATGGAAGAGCTTATGTGGGCTTGTTTCTTTATCAGGTACTAATGGCTTCAGAACTGTTTCTGTCTGTTTAGCCTAAGGTTTGTGTTGGTCTGAGAAAGAACCCAGGTGTTCCTGCAGTGCTCTCCATAAATCAAGGGCTGTCTATACCAAAAGATGCACCCATACTTTTTGGGGTGTAGATCATGCCCAGGAGTTGCCAGCTCTGCTACCTTAGTTCTCAGTAACTGCTCCACTCATGCAAACAGAAAGTTTAAAGCATCTTAAACAAAGGCCAACATAAAAACTATATCCTTTTTCTATAATCTGTTGCTTTGGGTAAGTATATACCCTCTGAAATTTTCTTGTGCCACAGATACTTCACTCCTGCATGTTCAAAGCATTTGGCACTGCTCAACCATTTGTTCAGGGAGGGAACAGGCTATACCTACAGCTGCACCTGAGTGCAAATGGTAAGAGTTTCCAAAATGCTTGAAAATTAATTGTGCACAAGGATTGGGGGGTGGGGGTACTGTAAGTGATTGAAGGCTTTGTAGTTACATTTTACATTCTCCTGTTTTACAGCACAGTTGTATTATTTTGTTTCTGTGCATAAACAAGAATCATAAAGAGATTCCTATCAAAAAAGCTGATGTTCCCATGACCAAGGTGAAGCCACATAATTTCTGAGGCAATTTTACCTGGAGCTTACAGCAATCTAGCAGAAACAATAGAAGGCCCTGTGGCAATGAGGTGGCTGTTAATTGCCGTGGGTGTTTGGCATTGATGGGCTCTTTGTTGGCAACCGTTCTAACCCAATTATGTTTCTAAAGTGGGAGTGAAAAGCATTGTAGGGAGCACCATGTAAACGGCACTAAATGCACTGAGACTGAGCGACCTCCCAGAAAGACAGACAGGTGCCAGCTAAAGCCCCATATGATTGATTTTCCACGGCTAAAATGGCAACCACAGACATCTGGTTTTGCCTCACTTATAACAACAGAAGCAAATGTGAGCTGTTGTCTTAGTTCGAACAGCAAGGCTGCTTAGAATTATATAAAAATATGGCATTTGACTATCAGTGGGGGATCTTTTGCTTTTCTGTGAGTAAAGATTTTATACCTCCAGCACTAGGAAATGAGTTTTTAGTCCTGAGAAAAGCATGCTCTGTATGTATGTGTATAGACACGTGTGTAAGTGACTGAGTTTAGTACTTGGGCTTGTTTTAATGCTGGTGTAGCATTTAAGTCAGAGATTTTTCTTACATGTAGGTATAGCTATGGAAAACAGGCCAAAGCCAGCACAAAAAAAACCCCTAACCATTCAATTGAGTGGTATCACCTAGGCAGGAAAACCCTTGCAGCTTCAGGACTGATGGAAGTGAGAGTCAGCTGAGCATCTTATGATATTTGCACTACCCAGCAACACTAATGTATTCTAAATCATCCTATAATATCAAGTGCAGTGTTTCAGTTCTTTGCTGTTGCAAGGACAAAATACCATTAATTATTACAAATATTTAAGTCACAAGACAGGAGCCCTTCTACCTGTTTCCTTGCCATTAAGATCAAAATCTTTTGCTCTTTTGAATTACTTTGAATTCTTCACAGTTTTACGTGGGACTCATACAAGGCTGTGATGTGGTACATGGGTCAATCCACTGAGCAGTTTCAGAGGCAAAAGAACTACGTAGGAGTTCAAATGTCCTTTGTAAATGGCTGCCTCTTATTGAGGTT